CCCCCCCCGCAAACCACCCTTCCCTTACACCTCAATAAAAATCTCCCATTCCTAGGACTAGGCGCGACTTCCCCTTTCTCTTTCTCTCGGACCAGTGAACCTCGCCTGGGAGCGTTCCCTAATAAAGCTCACTTGAAGCTTTCCTTTGTTTCGCGGTGCCGTTTGTTAAGCTCCGACCTTACAATGGATTATTGACTTTTTTATGCACTCTGATGAAATCATTATACTTGGGCATTTTAAAGTTGCCCAGTACAACTAACGCCACAGAACTAATGGGAAAACTTTTGACCAGTACATATGGCTTATTTTTTGAGAAAAAGGCACAGGAGCTTTCCCTTTAATTAAAGCAACTCTATACGTGTCCCCCTTTCTTTCTCTTCTTGGAAAAAGTTATATAGCAAAAAAAAAAAAAAAAAGTTTAAAAAAGGAAGAACTGGGGGAAAAAAGCACCCACATATTTCTATTATTGTCAGAAACTCTTGACTTACAGATGTTACTGACAGATGGGAAGCTCACTATATGAGAATGGGATTTGATTATCTTCCACTGAAAACCTGAAGGAAATCTAACAGAAAAACAATTGTTAAGTGAGAGGCATAGGAGTCAAAAGAATATACTGAGCTTTTTGGTTTCGGCATGGCTTTTATACATCTTTTCAACACGTTTCAGTTCTAGGTAGTGGCAATATAGAATGTTGTCGGCAACCGAAGTTCCTGATGTAAAGGGGTAAATAAGAAAGGGCTGCTTCACTGGTAACTAGAAGGTATCTTATTCTGGGACAAATAGTACTTGTTCCTTTTAATTTGAAATTCTGTGGAGGGAGGAGAGGCTGCTGCTTGGCTAAAACAGTTCCTCCAGCACAAGTCATTAGGTCAAGTGGTCATAGGACCTGCTTGTGGCCCAGTTACCTTGGTAACAAAAATATTTGAGTTAGGAGATAATGCTTCCTAGGAGCAAAACAGAATGTCTTCAATAAATTGTGTACTTTTCTTTCTATTTAGAGTCTAGGCCATGGGCCTGCAGCATGAGCATCACCTGGAACCTTGTTAGAAATGCAGTCTCAGTCCCCATTCCAGACCTATTGAATCAGAATCTGCATTTTAACAAAATTCCCCATGTGGTCCAAATTCACCAGGAAGTTTGAGATCCATTGGTCTCTAATACACCATTGCTGTGTTCCACTTTGGGGTAATAGGTTATTTTGACCAATGGTAATAGGCCACCACTGAGCACTTTTCGTTAGCAAATAGACAGGCTAAATATTTCTCTCTGATTGTCTGTTATACCATAGAGGCCGTTACTACAATAACTAGGACTTTTGCCATTAGAGTTTATTTTTCCAAGTCATAATTATACCAAGGATGGTGTGGAATTTAATACACAATCAACTTTACTTGTCTGCCTGATTTGTTGATGACCAAAATCCAGCTGAACCAAATTAAATGGGTAAAAATTTCCTCAAAGTAAATAAGCTATTATGAAGCTGTTTACTCTGGTTTCCAGAAATTACAATTTTCCTTAATAAATCTCTAGGTTATTGGGTGCTTTTTCTCCTTTCTGTAGCCTATAGCTGCATTTTCAGAGTGAAATCTATGGGATGTTATTGACAAAGTACTTTCTTTGCATAGACTTTGATATAATTTTTTTTCATTTGTTCATTTATTCATTCATTTACTGATTCAACTATTTATTGAATGCCTAATATATGGTAGTCGTTATGCTGAACTCAAATACAAGGGTGAATAGTACACAATATATGTCGTGTAAAGATTTTGAGGAAAGACAGCAGTTTTCCTGGAGAATGTGAGTAGTTCTGTATGCCTGGAGTTTAGCATTCAAAGGGGAAGTGGTGAGAGATGAAGCTGGAGAGAAAAGGAGAGAAATCATGAAGAGCCTTCTAGTGCTATGTTAAGGAGTTTGAATTTTATTCTGAAGCAGATGCATCACTAATCTGAAGCAGCGAATTTCAAACGAGGAGTTGCAACCTATTAATTAGTCATAAGTCATTGGGTGAGTCAGGATTAGCAATTTTTTAAAAAATGATATATATTAGAATAGAGAATTTCAAAGAGCATTTACATAGTAAAAGTTTGGTTGTGTGTGTATATATATGTATATACATATATGTATCTACACATGCAATAAGAAATATCTTCAAATTATGTGTGTGTGTGTGTGTGTGTGTGTGTGTGTGTAATGTAAAGGTATTTCCTATTGTGGGTCAGGGTTAAAACCACTAGTATAAAGGGAGTCAAGTTAGAGCAAGTATGGTTGACCATAAGCAAATTAAACCCATCAGAACTCGTCAGCCATGGTTATGTTCCATTGCTACCCTGTGGCAGTACTTTGTTACAGCCAACTCTCTGAATTCGATTACTAAAGTGGTGGAATTGATGATGCAATTTTAAGGAACACAGATAATTAAAAAATTGATTTACCTGTGGTTGGTTGCTAATAAAGCAGAAGTTTTTATTCATCTTGGAATGTGTGGGTGTGGATGAGACTGTGACAAAGGCAGACTATTTAGACGAGATTATACCAAAAGATACAAGTCATGGCGAGTGGAAGAACGGCTATACACATGTTTTTTGCCTAGGGCCACCTAGCCCTCTGACTATTTTTATTACTGCAGTAAAATCAGAGCTGTTCTTGAAAAATATATGGTGTAGTCTCTCAAAATAATATATTTTAATCCTCGAACTGTGTTAAGTGTAGAGAGTACAAAATTGTAGGAGACCCACTACTCAAATAAATTTTAGAAAAATGTTATCCCGACAAGATTTGCAAAGTGGTGTTCAGAAAAACAGGGTGGAAAGGAAGCAGGGAAATGTGAAAGATAAAGAGATGAGTTGTCGAAAAGAAGGAAAACAGTGATAATCAGCTGTCTGCCAAGTCTTAATATAGAGACAGTAGAGAATAGAGTTATACTAATTTGGCAAGTAGAAACGTAATTTAAAAGAAATAGGATTGATGCTTCCAAACCATTGAATACCCTAAATACTTACTTATTTTGTAAGGCCTCTTCTCCACACTAATTATGGAAAACCTGTGGTTTGGGGACTGTTTTTCACAGTGGCTGAGAGCATAGACTCTGGAGCCATCATTTTATGGGATATAGGAACAACCTTGGGTAAGTTGCTTTATTTCTTATCTCTTTCTACAGATGGAGATCATAACAATACATATTTTATGGTGTTGCTGCCAAGCAGATTTTATGAGTTTATGGAGTTAATGCTGATTATAACACAGTAAATGGTAAAAAGTGTTCTAGATTGGAAGTTAGTCTTTTAACTTTGAACATTATCATCATTGTGGCTCAGTCAGGACAAAGGACCCTTCTGGCAGGTATAAGGCATAAACAGGGACAAAAGAAAAGAGAGAGCAGATGAGAGCAGAGATAGACTTTCATGATGTTGCAGAACCATAGAAGTCAATGAGAGCAGCTCAGAGGAAGAGATGAAAGATAAGCATATTTATTAGTCAGGGTTCTCCC